TAATAATAATAATATTATGTGTGCGGATAGCTCTATGCATTGACCCGGCGCCGAGTCAAGGGTATTTTGAAACGCCATAGCACGATAATATGGCCAAACGCATTCACAGTTCACAGTGTCAAGTGGCTTCTTACTCTGGCAACTTGTGCACTGCGCAGTTCTAAATACACAGCGTTCGTAACTGCACGCGTTTGCATTCTGTACCGTGACTAGTGGAAGTGCCCTTACGTAAGGAATTAACGGATTATAAAATATTATAGTGATATTCAACTAATGAAAAAGCTTAGTTATATTGTGAAATAATTTACTATTATAGAAAATAAATCGAAATAATTATAAATAATCGTTATTTTGGAATTCTATATAAGGTACGTATATCATGTTGTTAATAATATTTTAAAAGGAGCGTGATGAGGTCATGCTTGTCTGTTATATGGAACGCTGTTTTAATATTATAATTGAGTTATAATTAAACATACCTACTTATAGATTTTTTTAACTTTTTATAGCTTCATGACTATTTTAGAAAACAATTAGACGGTCACTATGATCTAACAGAATCATTTAAAAAATACTTTCGATCTCAGATTCCTACGAGGTGTAAATATTATTGTTAGGGTCCTGGCGGACGTTAAAATAAAGAGTGGACTGTATAATATCTCGCCGTTGCTATAGGATAGTGGGGCTGCACCCGCGGCCCCGCCGCACTATGTGAAAGCCCCATACAAAGTCGTTGTTATGGAATAAAAATAATAAATTAATATAGTCTAATAAATAACCTATCTTTATCCTATTTTTTTTTATTATTTTTTTTGTTATCATGGATATAAATAGGCTTCAAAGTAGGAGTGGGTGATATAGCTCTTGCTGAATATCGAATCGAAACTATATATCGATAATGGATATCGGATATCGAAACCATATATTTTATGAATCTATATATTGTACTGATAACTCGACACGGATATCATTTTCGATATTTTTGTTTGTTAGATATATCGATACGGAACAATTTGTGCATATTTACATATATCATATACCTAGGTATTTTAATGTTGAGATATGTCTTATGAAAATCAATGAACTTTCCTTCCTACATTTCCCAGACTTAGGGCTGACTACATTATTATTTTCTAGTTTTTATTTTAAAGGTATATGCTCGTTTTTAATGGAATACTTTCTTTGATCAAAAATATGTATTTAATAACAAAATCAATGACAACGTCCTAGTTGCAATAATTGCACTTTAATTTAAAAAAATCTATTTGTCACCTAAAAATGCGCTTTTAGTTTTTACGTCTTTCCGAGACCAAAAGGTTAGTTCAATATTTAGATCATAATATTAGTGATATTATGTTATTACGTCCTACATATAAAGTCGATTATTGAACCATGCAATTATGATTAGTCCAGTCTTACCAAAATCGCAAAAAAGCAACAATATCGTATACACTATATTGCAGAACCGTAAAGTTCAGAATTGAATGGTAGCGTGCATAACGAAATATTTCACTTCATTCATATACAGTAAAACCCGTTTAAAACGATTTCACAGGGACCCAACGAAAAACGCGTCTTAAGCGAGAAAGCGTATTATGCGGAATAGGGAAAATAAAACGTACTGCATATTATTGTATATTATGTTCTAATTTGTATATGTAATTATGTATTTATTAAATTATACATTTCTAAATTACATTAAAAACATAGTCTAATAATAATTACGTCATTTAAAGTAATCACTTATTTTAGTTTGATTGAAAGATGCATTAGCTATCACAAGATTTTCAATATAATTGTGATTTCTACTCTATTTTTTAAAATGGTACGTAACGTAGAAACTGGTAACTGAAGCTCAGCAGCTAACTGAGTTTGATTTGTTGTTTGTGATTTTTCATCAAAAACTTTCAATATCTCAATTTTTTCTTGAAGTGACAATGCCTTTCGCTTAATTGTAGTCATTTTGTAACAAACAAATGATGCACTATTACAAAAGAGTCAGAACGCGCACGTGACAACATGTAAGTCAACAAATGACGACTGGACAGTGGACTGGTTAAACGGCGCACGGGCGGTGCGGGCGAGCCAGCAGGGGGGCTTGCGTTCGGCATTCGAGCTCGGCTTGGTCAGAGACCGTTACCCGATGCCATATGCCACAAGGAATAGAATAATAGGTATTAGGTTGTTGGCATATTAGGCGTATTAAACGGGATGACGAATCGTATTAAGCGTTATGAAATGTATGAAAACATGTCTCAAGTTGCAGGGACTAGCTAAAATGGCGTATTATGCGAAAAATCGTATTAAGCGTGATCGTATTAAGCGAGTTCTACTGTATATGTCACTTGTAAATCACGCCCTTTCACTTCCGCTCGGTTTGTATCACGCGCAACAGCACAAATTATTTCCATTAAAGCAAAGAACTAACTATCAAGCGCAACAGTAGGTATATGCCTTCGTCCGTGCATAAAATACTTATTCACGGAGAAAAAATCATTGAGTACTATGCTATTTTACCTATCGGACAATTGTCCGAAGACGCGCAAGAATCCTGAAATAAGGATTACAAAAAGTTCATCATCCTAGAAAGTGTTCAGAAGTGGCTACCAATGAAGACGTGTTCCATACCTTATTGTACACTTCTGATCCATACATATCAAGTTTGAGAAACACCTCAGTAACAATATCGAAAGAACTTTTAGATGAAGCCAAGGCTCTTCTTGCTATCAACGAAAATCTGTAGGAGCTTTCTGAATTTTGTACATATTTTTTTCTCGTTTGTTACTATTATTCCATTTTATGTAAATTACGAAAAAAAAGACAAATTTTGTTTATTTTTCAATATAAATGAATGAATATGATATGAATGCATGTATTTTTTTAAGTTTTATTTCTTAAATTAATTAATAAACAGAATTTTCAAAATCAAAATTATTTCCATTAAACTTTGTACATACAAGTATATGTGTGCAAAATTACAGCTCATTTAGTTTTGAAACAACTGAGATACGGAGTTTTGAGACGAAACATACGCGATTTTCCCATAGTGCGCCGGTGTCTACTGTTGCGTTTAACGCAGCGCAACAATTATACAAAAATTCAGTTGCTCTGCAAAATTCAAAATATTTTATTCAGCATTACTTAAATTATTACAATTTTTTACTGAACGTCAGGAGTCTACTACCAATTTAATTTCAATTTATAACTTAATGTTTTATTTTTGGCATCGTTATGAAATGATAAAAATATTATATACTTAACTAAATGTTATTTAAATAAAGTGTTATTTGGCTTTATCACTTTTATTCACTAACTAGCGACTATCCCTCGCTTCGCTCGGGTTCTCCCTAGGTGCGTTTTAACGGTTAGTATAAAATACAAATCTTTAAATTTCTCGGTTTTTCTGTACTAAAATGTATTATACATATATACAATTACTCTTGAATCACTGTATCTATTGCTGAAAACTGCATTAAAATCCGTTGAGCAGTTAAAAAGATCTAAGCGAATAGACAGCGGAAGCGACTCCATATTATACGATGTAAAGAAATGTCGTGCTTTAATAAAAAAACGTATGTGTGTACTTCTTTGGCGTAACAGAACAAAAATAGAAGCTACAACAGAGTTGAAGGTCAAATTCGTTCCAATTTTAATTCGCTTGCATGTTTTAACTCCATTTTATACCTACCTATACGGCGCTGCTCTCAAAAGCTATATAATTATGTACCTATGTATGTTAGGGTCCTATACAAAAACCGCAAAATTATTTTCCGTATCTTGTATGAAAATATGGTACTTTTTCATGTTTTAAGAGCCTCCTTAAAAACCAGATCAATAAAAAAATTTAGAGGTTGCTCACAATTTTTAAAATTCCCAAAATTGTATTTTTTATTATTATTATTTTCTCGTTATTTTATCATTTTCTACGTTGGAAAAGACTTAGTTCGAAAGACAATTTTTTTTACTTAAAAATTAGTGTAGGTACCTAAATTATTTTCGAGCGATCGTTTGTACGGGCTAATCTCCGAATCTATTGGAGCGATTTAAATGAAATTTTGCATGGTGGTACCTTATATCTCCGGTCAACATCTTAGATACTTTTAATCCCGGAAAATTAAAGAGTTCCCGTGGGATAGTTAAAAAAATATAGTAACTTATACAGCTTAGTACACAAAAACTTTAAATTGGATTTTTATGAAACTTTACAATAGAACAATCAATACAATATATATATTTGAGTTCAGAAGAAAAAAATAAAAAAAATGATTTATTTTGATTGGCCGCTATTTTTTTTATAAATTTTTTTTTGATGTTAATATATAAATGTCTCGAAAACTATTGAGAAGTTATCGAGACAAATTATTTAGTATGTATGCGGTGGGAAAACAATATTGAACAAACTGAAGCTAACCGGAATTTTCTATCACTAATAGATGCTGAGAAAAAAATTATTGAAGGTAGAAAAGTGCTGAAGCGAGTATTTTCGGGGACGCGCGCTGATAAACAAAGGCTGCAGACTGCAACTCGGCTGGACTATCAGCGCGGTTGTTGATCTATTATGCCCACACGCCACACGCCACACGCCACGCTTCGGTCGTATTGAGTAGTCGTCCCACCGGAGTATTAGAGTGAAAGGAATAGAGAGTGCACTTGTATCTGCGCGCACACTTGTGCACTATAATATCTCTTGCGGAGTTAGCTAGTCAGTAGTATCAATGAGATTGGCCGCCGTGGCCGGAATCGGTCAGAAGGACATTTGTGAAAGTAAAACTCACGTAGTAGGTACATACGTATCATAAGCTCTCAGTCTTGTAGTATTTTTTGCAAAATAAGAACAGTGCACCATATCAGTTTTCAACCAACACTGCGTGACTAATTATTTGCAAAACAACAATAAACAAACAAGCAAGGTATTCGGATTAGGTACTGTGTGTTTAGTCCGATGTAATTAACTTGCAGAATTTCAAATTAATGACGCCACACTTCTACTCCATCTGAAAATGGATCTAAAGAAGAATCAGAAAGAGCAATGGAATGAAGTTAATAAAAATGGTACGAAAATTTTATGTTAATTAAATTGACAAAATAAAAATCAATGAACTCTAAAATAACTTTGTAAATTTATATAATTAACACAAAAATAATATATTTCAGAATGTGGTGTACTCAAACAAATGGCTACATTTCAACCAAATGCACCACTTAAAGTTACCTTAATTTTAGAAAAATCAGATGCTGAAGATTACTTAATGCCAATTGAAGATTATGTAAAAACAAAAGAAAGAAATAGTAAAATAACATGTGAAACTATTTATGGGTCACAAATATTTCCTTCAGGGAACTTTTCAGATTCTACTGAAATTCCTTCTTATGAAAAAACCACATATTTGAACAGTCAAAACTTTACAATGGACAATAATAGGATAGTACATAATACGAATGAACTAGCCTCAAATGTAAACTATCAAACAATTGAAAGAAAAAAAATAACAACATTATTAGACACTCTCTCTAAAAACTTAATTCGTGTAATAAGTCTCGGATACGATACATATAATAATTATAAAAATGATCGATTAATGTTTGAAAAAGCAAAGAATAATTACTTACAATTCAAGAACAATATATTCGAAGTTTCATACGTTATTACAGAGTCTATAATTTTACCCCAAGAAAATAATTACTTCTTTATTGAAAAGTTTATAAATAGAACGCTTGAAATTGCTAATAACGTCATCGCAAATAATCATGATGTATCCAGAGAGTTATTACTAAATATTATAGCAGATTTAATCAATTGGACAAAACAAAAAAAAAAGGTTTTGGAAACTTCCAAAACGTTGTCTAAATTAGACCATAACAGTCTAACATCAACACATACGACTATGAATATCGCACCCATAAGTTCACTACAGTTAAATAATATTAACTGTATGTACAGTAATCATACAAGAGAAGAAAATATGCACACCACGAACGGTCATAGTTTAAATAATATTCAAGGTATTATTAACGGTCCATCGCTTAAAAGAAATTCGTCTGTTAATATTCCTGAAGAAGAAAACACCATATTAGCCTCAAAAAGACAAAAACTAACATACGATAAACGATATTGTTTAAATATTCCTCAAGCTTCGATACAAAACTATGCAATTGGTAATGAGCTGCGAGAAAATGTATCGGTAAATGACAATAATAATTTAAACATTGATGTTCAGTTATCAGCACCAAGATCGGTTTCTAGAGATAGTGGGATTGGAAGTCCTATTCGCACTAACTGGCCAACTGATCAAATGGTAATGGTTTTATTATTTTATGTAATACATAATCTTCACATAAAAGTTCACATCAAATATTTACGTGTATTGTGGTGGCAGGAATGATAGTCATATACTCTCGCTACAATAGCTACACCAAATCTTATGTTGAAAAGAGCCAGCCAGTGTAAAATGGATAACATTAAACATGTTATGATTAATCATATTTTATTTGGTCAATTAAGTAGCATATTTTAACACTTACGTCATAGATTTAATAAATAATTAAAATGACAAAATATATAAATTGAAAATTATTTACTTAGTGAGTAGTTAGTAGGGTCTCAATAAATAAATATCATAAGAATTATATACATATTTCACATATTAACAGAAATCAAGATCTACGTAATAATTAATTATTTTAGTTGACATTAACTTTATATTTTATATTTTTCATAACATTATTTTTGTTGTTATAATATCACTATAATCTTTTTAGGGTTGCACATATAAAGCTAGAGTTACAACAATAGCAAAAGACGCAGGAATGAGTATTTGTAAAGCAACTGCGAATCAGATATGCTTAGCCAACTGCAGCAGTCAGGTAAATTATTTACCTTTTTAACCGACTTCAAAAACAAAGGAGGTTATCAATTCGACACGTACGTATGTAATATTATTGGAATTGCAAAATATTCACATATGATAATCTACTATGGTTTTACATATTTTAGTTCACATTGTAAAAACTACTTAATCGATTTTGATGAAATTTTTACTATTTCCAAAATGGAAATAAATGTTAGCAAAAAAAAGAATAATCACGATTCGATTACTAGTTCGGATTCGGATTTCGGAGAAATACGTGGACAATCAAACAAACATACATACATACACCTATAAAATTTTGTATATTTGTTTGGAAACCCTGATAGATAATTATCATATGTGAATATTTTGCAGTTTCAATAGTAGGTAAGCCGGGGTGCTAAATTTGTAGTTACTATTTTATTCAGCATTCAATTATTACTTTATTACCACATTTTGCCATCCGCTGTTTGTTGGTAAAATTTATTACCATTTACCAATATCACAGATTATATTATTTTACTAGTTCCAATATATACAAACACCAATAACAATATACTTATTTACAAACCTACTACAAGTACTATTGAACAGGAATACAGTAGTAAGTGACACACCTGAGATAATTATCGCGATTAATATAGATAAATTCGAGTGACGATAGCCACTTACCATCAGGTGGATCACTTGCTCGTTTTTCCCCTTTTTTCTATAAAAATAAAATTATCACTATAATTGAAGTATTAGTTACAATATTATTTATGTAATATTGCCAGACGAATATAGTAATATTACCTAATCCTGAGAAATATCGGTATTAACTATTAACCCATCATTAAAAACGAACACATTATTGTGATCAGCTAAGATGGCATCATGGCGGCAGACGGTAGTGTGGGGACGGTGCGAGAAAGTGAGAGATAGAGAAAGAGTGAGAAGGAAAGAGAGGCGCGGAGTGGGAAAAACACAGTTCCCAGCATCTGTACGCTTCATCTTTTATTAATGGTTTTAGCTACATCGCCCCGTGAAAGTCGTCAGATTATATGTTTTAGTAATCTTGATAGGATTTCCTTCAAAATAAAAAAAACAATCGCGTTCGAGCATTTCAAGGTGACGTTTTTTTTCAACTATGTGACTCGTCCATTTTGTCAGATTATTGAAATATACACTTTCTGTATGTACTCAACTTACCTCGTCTTAATCTGACGCGCTCGAGTTTTTCTGAGGATCGTTTTTTTACTAATCTGAAGGGCTTCCCTCAACGCACCCCCCTATATTAAGGGTTCATATATGGTAGGGGTACATTACAGGGAGCAAGGTTTCTGCCCATATGATTTTCTGACGCACTCGAGTAACGCACAAAATCCCCGTTTGGGCTATTACAATAATATTACATACATACGTATCGAATTGATAACCTCCCGTTTTTTGAAGTCAGTTTAAAACTATTTCAGTTCTTACTTAAAATTGAATTAATGTTTATTACGAAATAAAAAGTAATTTAAAAAAAATTAAGCCGACTTCAAAAAATAATAAAAATCGACTTCCAAGCAATAAAAAGTAAAAAATAAATGAACGGGGCGGAGCTTTCATTTAATATCTAGATAGCTAATCATAATAATCTATAATCTCTAGATACCTAATCAGATATTTACGAAGTCTAGTCGGTCGAAGTCTGATTCAGGGGTGGCTTAATATTCAACAGCGTTATTTATAGATAAAAACTTTTGTTTCAGCGTAACGATTGGAATGCTCATATGCCAAATTATGAAAGATAAAAAATTAAAAAATGTATTGCATTGGTTGTATGAATAAATTTTACTTGAAATTAAACAAAGTATTTTCTTACTTGAAATATTAGTAGTTAGTTTGTACCAGAACCGGTGCAATCTGGCAAACTTACTCCCGGTACTGACGGGCTAACTCGCGGACGATTCTGTTTTGCAACGGTCCATTTTCGAGTTACGGATCCTAAAAAATAAAAAAATAACAAAAAAATAAAAAGGTTTTGGCATGCTCTGATCACGAATCTGCGATCCATTTTTGCGTACGATGCGCGGTTCTGGAGATGTGGAAATCAATTAGGAAATATCTGATTGATATCCGGTGGCCTCGCACCCTCATTAGCGCTCCATTGTTCTCCTTATCTATTGTTCCGAACACCCCCATTACGACTGCATTGCCGTTCTTATCTATTGTGCACATCCATTAGGATATTTTATTCTTGATTTTATAATATATGATTTTATAATATTTGATTTGATTGTATACTTCTATTGGTCATCAACTACCATGCTACTCTAAATCATAAGTAAAACACACTCATTCATTTCTAACAATTTTTATTTATTCATTTCATAATTTTATTACATATCTATATACATACATAACATTGAAGTGTCTGTTTTTCATTTCAAATTCTCAGTTTTTAATTAAACACATATCAAAGTATATAAGATACTAACATCAAAAAATCAGTTTTTACAATTTTTGTCTGTCTGTCTTTCACTGATACCTAAGGTTCTATGGAGTAACTATTTAAATTAACCTAAAATTATAAAACCCGTTTAATTTCTTTTAACTTACGCCCAGCGAAGTGGGCCTGGTTTGCTAGTTCTCTATTCTTATCTAAAGCAAATTCCTAAGCACGAAAATTTATGACCCATCCCTTCGTAGCGCGTTATCTCACATCCCTTCGTGGCGCCTTATCTCACATTCCTTTCCTAAGCACACGAAAATTTATGACCCATCCCTTCGTATCTTCTTTTTTTTAGGATCCGTAACTCGAGAATCGACCGTTGCAAAACAAAATCGTCCGCGATTTAGCCCGTCAGTACCGGGAGTAAGTTTGCCAGATTGCTCCGGTTCTGGCTCACGAGCCAGAACCGGTACAAACTAACTACTAATATTTTCCATTCAAATGTTGTTTGTGTTAATAAATAATGTATGTATTAACTTACCTGTACATATTACCTACTGGGGATGCGCTAAATTTAGGTTCAACCGAATATTCGGTCCAAAATGTACCGAAATGAACATTCGGCCGAATTATTCGACTCATTTTTACGTAATAAACGTGTTTATTCATGTCGGTATTTCTGATAACAGCGGTATAGTTAATGTATAAAAACTAATTTTTCTTTGTTGGAAAACAAACGTTGATTGATTTAAGTATATTAATAAAAACTTAAAAAAAAATAAAACAAAAAGCGACTTCAAAAAAGCACTAAAAAGTAAAGAATAACTGATTGGTAATTTTCATTTACTATAGGCATTGTTAAAGCGTTGACCGGAACGTGTGGGGAAAGAGGCCGTTGAAAGAAGCCTGTGAGAAGTATTCGAATAGCAACGTGCTCGCTAGTGAACGCTAATAATCTTAAGGCTGTAAAGACTATTGATTGCACTATATCTTGTACAATTAAACTAATAAACAAGTAAAAATAAACCAATTTTTCAACATTGGCGCTTCGAGCCAGGATTTACAATTAACAAGAACCAGAAATATCAAGAAATTGAATAGACGATCTACTTATTCTTCGCTATACAACTATAAACTACATCACTCGGTGAGACGTTCCAACCAGATTATTCCATCAAAACTCCATAAAACCTTGTGCTAATACTTTGTGCTAATACCAGTGAATATTGTCGTTAAATTTATTAATTATTGAGTCGTATTTAAAAGAGTACTTGTACTTCATAGAACTGCTGTCGTCATATAACTTACAGGTAACTCCACTTCTAGTAAAGCACCAAAATGTCCAAAGCTGAGCTTACATTGCCTAAATCTCCAGTTTTAGATCCCACAGCTCAATTTATAAAAGAATTGATTAAACAAAGAGGTACTTTAAAAGGCCGGTTAACTAAATTGTCCGTTTATGTTAATTCTTTTGAAAATCAATTTCTAGACCGCGCTAAAAGGGCTGAGTTAAATTTAAGGATGCAGGGCGCAGCCAATATATTGTCAGAATTTAACAATGTACAAAACAAACTAGACGGGGTTCTTCCTGAGTCACAGGACGATGAACAGCTCGACGAGAGAGAATCCTTTGAAAGTAAGTACTATACTATCTTAGCTCAAGCTAATTGCATACTAGATAATGATAGTAATTCACCCAATGCAAATAGTTGTGGGAACGACCTAGGTAATATGCATCAGTCGGTAAAATTGCCTACAATAAATTTACCTACATTTGACGGTTCCTACGAACAGTGGCTCGAGTTTAAAAATACATATTTATCATTAGTTCATACGTCAAATAATATAAGTACAATTCAAAAATTTCACTATTTAAAATCCTCTTTGAAAGGTCCTGCCGTATTAGTTATTGATTCCCTGGAATTTACCCCGGATAATTATTATGTTGCTTGGGAGTTGCTTATGAATAGGTACAATAATAGCAGACTTCTTATTCACAATCATGTGAAAGCTTTGTTTAATATTAAAAATTTAAGTAATGAGTCACCTATATTATTACGCAAATTAATTGACATTATACTTAAAAACCTGCGATCTCTTAAATTATTAGGTGAACCGACGGAACACTGGGACACTTTAATTATTTATATGATTGTTTCTAAGCTTGATAATACTACTGAACGCGAGTGGGAGAAATATAGGAGTGATCTTTTGTTGAATGAACGTCAAAACGATTGTAAGACGCGAGTACAAGTAAATGATTTATTACAATTCTTAAAAGCTAGGGCTGATATGTTAGAAACGTTGCAAGTTTCACATTATAAACAAGGTTATGATTCGAAAACTATTACAAAAACGTCACATAATAATTCTAAAGTTCATTGTAATTTATCTACGTCAAAATCAAATAAAGTTATTAAAAGGTTATGCCCGTATTGTAAGGCAGATCATTACTTGTATTCGTGTCAAAAATTCCTAGACTTGGCGATTGACACTAAAATAAATTTTGTTACTAATAACAAATTATGCAAAAACTGTTTGCGTCCCGCTCATACTGCGGATACATGTAAGTTCGGACCGTGTAGGAAGTGCAATTCTAAGCACAATACTATCATTCACCGCGACAGCGGCCCGACTGAAGAGCGAGTTTCGCTGCTGCATGCGCCCGCGCAAGGCGAGTGTAGTAGTGATTTTTATCAATTACCTCAACGCACACAAGCAAAACACCCTTTATCGCAGGCGAATGGTGCAGACGTACATTGCGCGCAAGCGTCACTCACTAAGCCTGTTTTGTTATCGACCGCGCTAGTCAATATAACAGATGATTCAGGGAATACAATTACTTGTCGCGTTTTACTAGATAGTGGTAGCCAATGCAGTTTTATACGAAAATCTCTATGCGATCAAATTAACACGCCATTAATACAGTCCATTAAAAAAATACAAGGAATCGGTAATTCTATCACGCAAAGTTTACAGTCTTGCAAAATAAAAATAAGTTCGTTAAACGGCGAGTATTCTACGCGCTTACAATGTTTGGTACTGCCGCAGATAGTACCGAGTATGCCATCTATACCTATTAATATTGATAAAATAATAATTCCGGATTTTATTACGCTAGCTGATCCCGCTTATCTGGAAGCTCATACGATTGATATATTAATAGGTGCCGATCACTTTTGGGAGTTATTATGTGACGGAAAAATACCTCTCGAGAGTGGCCCTTTTTTACAAAATACTAAACTAGGTTGGATTGTCTCGGGTCCTGTGAATGAAATTGTGTGTTTAAATAATATTGTTTATTGTAATTTTTCACAGTCAATCGACTTTCAATTACGTAGGTTTTGGGAATTGGAAGAGGTCACGGTTAAATATCCTGCATTATCCGATACAGAAAAGACTTGTGAAGATAATTTCATTAAAACTACTAAACGGGATAGTCAAGGCCGTTTTATTGTTTCAATTCCTTTTCGGGACTCACCTACTTTACTTGGGGAATCATATACACAGGCATATAAACGCCTAATTTCACTTGAAAAGAGACTATCTTATTTACCTATTTGTAAAAAGTTATATAATGAATTTATAAATGAATATATACAGTTAGGACATATGACTCGCGTTTACACTTACAACAATATACATTTTTTTATGCCGCACTTTTGTGTATTTAATGAAAATAGCTCGACAACTAAATTACGGGTTGTTTTTGATGCAAGTGCATTGTCATCGACAAACAAATCTTTAAATGATTTACAGATGGTCGGGCCACCCATTCAAGGCGATTTATTTTCAATTCTATTGCGTTTTCGCGAAAATACGTATATAGCATGCGCCGACATCGAAAAGATGTATAGACAGGTTTTAATTTCTGAAGATCAACGCGACCTCCAGCTTGTTCTATGGCGCAATGATCCTGCAGCCCCTGTCGAGATTTATAGGTTAAACACGGTTACATACGGAACAGCGTCTGCGCCTTTTTTGAGCGTTAGGTGTTTACAACAACTAGCTATAGAGTGCGATGACGTTGACGTTAAGCGAGTTATAACGCAAGATTTTTATGTTGACGATATGATTACAGGAGGGAATGATAAAAATGAATTATTAAATTTATGCGAGAAAACAGCCAGGGTTTTAGCCAAAGGCTGCTTTCCACTTCGCAAGTGGATATTCAATTTTGACCATGATCATACATTGTCGGGGTCACACACATTAAAAAATCTTTCTTTAGGTGAACAAACGCAATCAAAAACTCTAGGACTGAGCTGGCTTAGTCAACTTGATCAACTTAATTTTCAAACTAAGGTTCAAGTCCCTAGTAATATAACAAAGCGTGCAATTTTATCCATTATATCG